TTTTGAAAAATAGTGGGACCCTCCTCCACAGCTATACGTGCTTGCCTAAGAGTGCTGAGCTGGTGAATAGGGTGAGGATCTGAGAGACAAAAGAGGGAAATTATTGAATATCATAACGCTAAGCATTATGGTGCGTATCTGCAAAAATACTGTGCAGTTTTGTTTATCTTTCTCATAATACTATGTGATATGTTCTCATTTTCTTTCTCGAGCTATGACTCTTATATAGTTCTGAGTCCTGGTATATAGAAGATGCTGAATAAACGTTAAGTTCAATGTCATACTTGTTTTGTAGTTTTAAAAAAGAAAGAAAGAATCTTCCTGAGCCCTTCTTGTGCAGAAACTGACTACTTGTCCTTCAGTCTGTTTGTCTTCCCTTCGAAGGTGTGGTACACAGCTGGACCACAGGATTGCGTCCCTTTTCCCTCACGGTTAGATCTGGCTGTGTGAAGACAGCAGAAAGTCACAGTCCTAGACCTCTCAGTCCTGGACCTCCGAACCCCCCCGCACAATCCTCTCTTTCCTCTCTCCTTCCCTGTCTGCTTGCTGGATGTTAACACCCAGGGCAACACATGCTGAAAATGGGGGATAAAACCCTCATGACCTGCATGTTGGAACGATGCATAGAACACAGCTTACCTTGGCTCCTTATGTATTTTAAAGCAAGAAGTTAATTTCTATTGAGGAAAATGCTTTCAGTTGATCTGTCACAATAGCCAGTATTACCTTAACGGTCCACTCTTCCTTGTCCCCCAAGACTGTTTCAATGTGAACACCACAGATAGTAAGAAAAAGTTGCTTAGCTCATCTATTGCTATGATTAAATATGGATCTTGCATTTTGGAGGAGATAGAGCTGATCATTTTGTCCTGGAAAGAAATTGACCTTTGAATGAATTTTACAATCATGCAGAGACCTCTAGAAAAGGTGAAGTACTAAAAAGGTAGAATTTTAAAATAAAATGAACAGAATTTGCATTTTGAAAAATGTCATCTAGTTGTCTTCAACTCTCACAATTGACCACTGTCTGTACAGAGTGAAGGTAACCAGGATATTTGCAGTCATGGGGAAGAGCTGGGTTGACTTCTGCCCATAGGATGTAGCTGGACTTTTCAAGTCCAGGGGTAGCATGACGGTTAATCACAAAGTGTTGCTGAAAAGTGCTCTGGTGTATCTTCTCTGGATGATTCTTGATTTATGTAAGAGTCTAAAAACTAAGTTGCTTTCCCTCTTCTCTGTTCAACTTGAAAACTGAAGAATTAAGGGTTTATAATTTTTAAATTAAAATTTTTTTTGCAGGACTGGAGCTGAAACCCAGGGCCTTGGTCATGCTGTGCAAGAGCTCTACCAATGAACTATATTTCCAGCTCATTACAAAATGTTTTCTAAATATTGACACATGTCCCTAGCTTTCCAAGCTGGCCTCAAATTTCTATGACCCCACCTAAGCCTCCTAAGTAGCCAATGTTCTCTTAAGCTGGGTGCAGACAGCATGCCTATAATCCCAGATACTTGGGATTAATTAAAAAAGTGATTAACTTGCGCTTTATTTTTTTGCCCAGTGTAACAATTTGTATTGTTTTTTTTCCAAGTTAACTTCTTTCTATAATTGTTGGTCATATGCATAAATAATTAAAGTACATTTTGTGATTTGGAGCTTGTTTTGGGACTTAACAAACACTCATTTAACAGTGCTGCTTTATTTGCAGTTAGTGTAAGCACACGGCAGCTGCTTTGTAGAACCTTTCTCCATCAGTGTCCATGACGTGGTAGGAGTCTGTAGCCAGCTCGGGCCATAAGTGCATTTCCTATCAGCATAGTAGATGGAAGTAATTTCCCTGGCTGGAATCTGGGCATGACATTGGAGCAACTCACCTCATCTCAATAAAGCCTAGAGAATTATTTTTCTGTGCATTTACTGCCTTGATTCTTAGATATCTTTTCTTTATGAAACTATTGCATTTACTTTGGATCTGTATTTCTTCTTATGATTGAACAAAGAAAAATTAAGAGCAGCAATAAAAACTAAATTTCAAGTACTAAATATGTTCATTGCATTGAATATTATGACAAAGCTCAGATAACTCACTGCTTTTCATTTGGAATGCACACATGAGTGAATCAAATGATGTTTAGATTTTTCTTGGTTCTTTCTCAATAATGGGTCAGATAAATCACCGTCTGATTGCCTATTGCATTCTTGAGATTGCATTGGGGATGGCGGGCAGTAAAAGGCTCCAATTCAGATTCACTTATGTGCAAACAATAAACATTGTTTACCATTTTTATATTTATGCCAATGACTATAAAATAGTCAACAGCTAAAAGATACTTAGGGAAAAAAGCAACATCTTGCTTTTAGAAAGAAATCTTTGACAAAAAATTTTCTCCATTTCCACTTGATTATGCTGTTCCATAGCAAACAATAATGTGAAATACACAACAATTCCTGAGCCATTTATAGTTTTGCTATCAATTATAAAATAACAAACTAGAGAATATACACATATCAAATATTAAGGAAAAATAAGACTTTTATTGGGTTCAAATATTCTAAGTGTGAATTATGGAAACTTCAGATTGACCCAGCCTACGGCACAAATTTTCCTGTGCCTAATTTACCCCTCTTCTCTGAAATAATGCTGGTGATTACTAACTTTTACATCACTTATGAGGGTTTTGCTTATTCATACTCTCATTTGATTTGGTATTATGCTTTCTAAAAAATGGAAAAACAATTTCTAAAATATGTAAAATACGTCCTCTGGCAAAATAGCCAAACAGAGTTTGAAAGCATATGTCATTTCTCCAAATCTGAACCTTCACTTTTACTTTTAGGCAAAGATAATACTGTTTGGTAATTTAACCTCGAGGGCATGACTTTGGGGATCATCTTCCCAAATTTATGCATTTTTTGCATTGAATGGTTTTCTTGGCTATTTCCCCGTGGCTCAATCTGGTTTTACAGATGTGGTATCTCTTGTTCTGTGGGTGTTTGCTCCTTTGAATAAAAGTGGTTTAACAAGCTCAATGAAGAAAACAAAGGAGAGAAGCGGAAGTGTTAACCTAAGAACTGAAACAATTGCAAAGCAGCCTCTATGCAGGTATGCGAGAGTGGGGCTGGACAAAGAAGAATTCTTAGAAAAGACAAAACTTTAGTTTGGTCTTGCAGGAGAGGATGGGCTTAGATTATTAGGGAGAAAACAGACCGGCATCCCAGGTGGTGGAGACTGCATGAAGTGTCTCTAGGAATAGCTTTAATAACTGCAGTGAATAATTAATGTGGTGATTCCCTAGTATGTCTGCACACTTTGGATTTTAAATGATAATTTATCATTATAAATAGTGTCTGATTCTCATGAGTGCTAGTTAAAAATTATTCCATAGAAGTTTTATTAATTAAAAATATCCAACCTCCATTATAAGTTTGAAATCTTTGGGAGTCTCTTGAGGTAAAGACAAGTGTAGGTGCCCAGACCAATACATTGATTCAGTTTTGGTGAGGCTCCGGAAGGGGACAATGAACTGTCAGAAAAGAGCTTGGGGAAGAAGAGGGCTACCTATAATGCTTTGCACATGGATTGCCACCTATTCTTGTATCCTGTGAGCAGAATCTCGTAGTATTCTGAGCAGAGCAGTGCCCTTACACGTTAGGGACAAAGGAAGTAAAGTCTCCTCTGCTAGGGTTCACACAAGAAGAGGCAGTGTGTGATTCCCTCCCTTGTGTGAGCTAGGTATGCTAAAGCAGGAAATGCATTACTATTAGCACTTGCTGAGAACTCATTATTCGCACACAGAGTATTCTGAACACACAGAGTAGAGAGAAGTTCAAAGGTGAAACCTACTGTTGAATGTATCCAGGACATACCAAGAGGAAGTTGGTGGGCTAATGGGAAGACACGTAGATATTCCCAGGAATTTGGAGAGTTACTGGTGGAAGAGGCTGTAGATATAAGGAAAAGGCCAGCCATCTGCAGGCAGGGACAAAGGACTGAACCTAAACTGTATGAGTGTATTCTGGGGATAACCTGGTGGTGGTCAAATAGAAAGGAGTACTCCAGTTCCTCTTCCTGTGGCCTGAACTGGAGGTGACTCGCCCAGGTGTGGAGGAAGTATTAGGGAAGCAACAATTCTGGCTCCACATATGACTTGGGACTATGTTTCACCAACGTAGGAGCTGCAAGAAGTGGACAGTTTTTTAAATAGACCAGATACCATATTCTTACTCTCCATCTAGTTTATAATTTTGCCTTGTGCCTCGACCCTGGCTAGTAATTTGATTTCTTTCACTCGAATGTTTATTTGGTATTTGTTTCAAGTTCTATTAGTTAAAGACAAGAGTAAGTGGTTTTCTATCAATAAAAGTAGTATTATTTATGAGCGTGTGCTGGGGGTAGGCTGGTGGTGAAGTAGGTAGGAATTTTTTATGCATTTGAATTTCTCTTGACTTCTGTAGCATCCCCAACCTACATTCACATGTACTTAGACAGTGTTTAGCATCCACACTGTACAATAATAGCAGATATGTACATAGATGTAGTTTCTGAGACTTGTTACTGGCAAACAGCAATGTTAAGTTTCTGAATTTTAATTGACTCTGGTGGCTGATATCAGAGGCTGTCAGCTAGCTGGTCTCCAGGTGGTGATCCACCTGGGCATAGAAATTGTGTACACATAGAAAAATTACTTAACAGAGGTCAGAGTGTTTTAGTGAGGATTTTTACTTCAGTTTCTACTTTCCATTTGAGAACTCTCTTCTTTGGGAGCAGAGCCAAATTAGATTTTGCAGCTTAAGGAGCCGTGTATGGAAATATGTGAAATGTATTCCATCGCCAATCCATCCCTTTCCCATTATTGGTTGGTGCTCCAGGCGGTAGCCCAACTCTCCTGCCCTGCGTATAGCCCAGGGAAGGCAGCATGCTGAGGCTGGTATGGATCACAAACCAATTGGTTCAAAAAACATGGGAAGAGAACTGAACTTTGGGAGATTTAAGAGACGCGGTTTGGTATGTGCACACTCACACACACTAAGGAAGAGGGTGTCCAGGAAGTGACGTGTGTAAGCTGGCAGTGGGTGAAATGAGGCGGAAGGGCAGAAAGAATGAACAGACACACGTAGAGCTCAGCTGCCAGCGTTCTCCTGCCATTGCTAGCAGTCAGCACCTGGTTCGGCTTCCTCCCACGAAAGGACAGGTTACTGGCCCCAGCCTTTCGGTCACAGCATCTTCTGCCTCCTTCATGGAAGATGGTTGTTGGTTAGAGCACTGCTGATCTGGATTTATATATCCTCACAAGGCTATTTTATCATTGCTGATCTGCTGAAGAATGTAAATGAGTATATTTAAATATCATGTTCTCTACAATTTCATACTTTGTTCTAAGCTCAAAATAAAGCTACCCAGGTGTTCTTTTATAAATAGGACTACAGGAATTTCAACAAACCTTTGCATTATTCATTACAACAAAAGAATCAGAGTTCCTTCTCTAGATATAACTAATTTTAACACTTTTTAAAGTAATAAACTAACTGGAGGTAATTAGCACATCACTAAACATTTCTTTACCAGATGTATCAACTCTGACTTCTCAACCATTATGTCAGATGAACAATTACTCTGAAACCCAGTAAAAGTTATCTGTTATCAATTTATGGCCATGGTGACTTTATATTATTATGGTTTATTTTTAATTCAAGCCTTTGGCAAACAATTTAAATGAGATCTGCTACACAACAGTGCTAATCTAATAGTTGAAATATTAAAACTTCACACATGAGAGATTTATCCTTTTAATAAGATTAATCACACCGGACATCACTTACCCTCTCCAATTAAAACCCAGTTCGTTTGCACACAATTTATTTAAAAAAATCCACATAGTGAAAATGCAAATTAGTATCATAGGTTTTCTGACCTAGTTAAAATGGACAACAACTGGCTATATCTAAACTCAGCTCTTCTTTCTCTGTCAGAAATTCCTTACTAAATAGGTGGTTGGCACTTCATAAAAAACAAAGCTTCCGTGAGATATATACCATAGTATGTATAACAAAGAGCGTTTGGTAGTGAACTGCTTAATTCAGAGGTAATTTCCAAAGCTGTTTCCATAAATGCTCACAACTGAGAGAGTTTGGTTGTTCAGTCATTTGTTTATCAAAATCACCTTGGGGCAGAGATCGCCTCTATTGGAGAAGCTCCTTAAGTGGCTCTTTTTAGTTCTATAAGAATATAGCTGGATGTGTATTGACCTGACAGAGGCTTTGCTTTCTCTTCCTCCTTGGCTGTAAAAATTAAGTATTGTTGAGGAATAGTGTTTCAGTCACATTCTCATCACTGGAACAAAACACTCAACAGCCACAACATAAAGGAGAAGAGGTTGATGTTGGCTCTTGGTTTTTGATTTTCAGAGGATTCAGTCCTCGGTTGGCTGGCTCCAAGGCAGAAAGGTCATGATGGAGAGGCCAGGCAGAGGACAGCTGCTCATCCCCCGACACCCAGGAAGCAGAGAGAGAAGGGAGGAGCCAAGCAGGGAGATACCCCCTTCAAAGGCATGCCGAGCGACCTACCTCTCCCAACACCCCTTAATAGCACACTTTGCTGTGGATTAATTCAGGATGAGTACCATGCTCTCATGATCCTATCACCTTCCAAAAGCCCTCTCTCTGAACATATGAGACTACTGGGGGACACTGTACACCTAAACCATAACAAAGCAAGGGGAATCTTCACAGGGGCCACGGGGTCTTCTTGAAGGAGAAAGATTAAGATTGTAGTGCATTCTGCTATGAGTTTCAGTATTTTATTGTATGGAGGTACCCATGATAGAATTATATTTTCAAAATTGAGAAAGTTTTGAATGATAATTTAATCCAAGGATGAGGATATTTGCACAGAAGAGCTGGTTCTCGCCACATTTTCTAGGCAAGGCTGGAAACCAAGTATTGAGAAAATATGGCGGCGGCTGGGGATTTAGCTCAGCAGCACAGTGCCTGCCTGGCAAGTGCAAGGCAAGGTTGTGAGTTCAATTCCCGGTACCAGAAAAAAAAAAAAAAAAAAGAGAAAATATGGCTTTCTGTGTGGGTGGTAGTGGGGATAGTCACCAGAAGTGTGGTGATGTTAAGTGATTAAGCCAGAGTTTAAGAAACACTGGTGAGGAAGCACCCTTTCACTCCCCTTTCTACCTGCAAAACTACAGACAGGGAAGTAATGGTCCCACACCACCAAGCTCTATTCAGAGCAGGGGCTACAAAAATGATCACAAGGCAAGAGATTGGTACTGTTTGGCATGTCTGCTTTTCTCCACGTGGTGATTTCCACATGCCACACATTTGTGACACACGCCACAAAACTAGCAAGACCTTGACCAGACAGGACCAGCTATAGAACTCTACTCTCTTCAAATATCAGAAGACATGAGCCCTGCATGAAAACGAATCTCTACTCTGTATGGTGGAGATACAGACTCACATGCATAATCCTATATAACCTACTACCGGACTATACCATAGTCAGAAGTTGCATTCAGGTGATACAGAAACCAAATAAAACCCTAGGATCAAATGATTTATTTTATTCATTCAGCTTTAAAGTTTTTAGTACATTTCTCAAGAAGTAGTGTCATTTGAATACAATCTGTAAAAGTCAAAGAGAGGAGTGGGAAATATTTTGCCAACATGAAGGCCAGAAGAAAGGACAGTTTAAATGTGTTTTGAACACACTCATGTAAGTGAAGTTTATTTTCAGTGAGTTTGATGACTAACTCTAGCTATGGGTGGTGGAAAAACTGTGAAGTGAAGCAATTCCGAGTATGTTTTAAAATGGTATTATTACAAGGAATTAAATCAATACCTCAAGTTGAGTTTAAACATAAAAGTTTGCAATTTTTACTAATGGAAAATATTTTTGTACATTCTCACTAGATGAATGGGAACAAATACGTGGAAAACAAGCATTTAAGTGGATGTCAACTCCCTAGCACATCCAGGAGGCCCACTTGTCCCAGCTTACCCTGGGCAAACCCAGCAGGACATATGGGCTGTCTTATGACCAATATTGCCCCAGATGCTAGTGCTTCTAAATTGTGCTTATTTTAAACCAAAAAACCCCACAAATTCCATGTAACTACACTCCCTTCCTCTCCACCATCTTATGTTCATTATCTGGTGCCTGAGCATCCTTAGCACACTGAGAATTCAGATGCCAAATTCACTAAGCACTTCCCCATGAACTGACATTATCAATTCAGTTCAATAATTACATTTGACATATCTTTGCTAACACCATTAAAGTATCATTGTGTGTTTCAGTATTTCAAGGTCAAGAGTTATAGCTATCTTCCCATCATACAGATCCTTTGGGAGAAGTCATGTGCCTATTCACTTGCTCAGTCTTTCCACAAAGATTTGCAAAATACCTGCTATGTTCTAGGAACTCTTTTAGGCTTTAAGGATACATCAGTGAACAAAATGGGCAAAATCTTTGTTCTTGGAGAACTTACCTTTTATTGAGAGAACAAACAAAAAATAAGAAAAAATATGATTCTAAAAATATTAGAAAGTAGAAGAAAAATAGTCTACATTAATGAAAGGAGAGAGAAACGTGGGAGGGGAAGGGTTATAAAATGATTAGAATATGGTATGTGTATGCACCAATTCTGAAGGTGAGTGTACTTATTACATATCACAAACATATATTAATAAAAAAGCAACTCTGAAAAAGAGACAGATAAGGATATTGCATTCAGATAACTTGTGCTAATGTATATGTGTTATAATTTTAAGAAAAGGTCACAAAGGGTCACTAATAAAGTGACATTTGAACAACCACCTGAAGAAGTGCTGCGGGAAGAACTTCCCAGAAGAAGGAACTGCAAGTGCAGAGGCTGGGAGGAGCAAGGTTACCTCATTCAGGAGCAGGAAGGCTGAGATCCTGATTTAGGTTAGGGATGATGGTGGCTAGGGGTGGGGTGTGTAGTGGGCATGAGGAGTGGCCAGGTCCTGGATATACTCTAAAGGAGGAGTTCCCAGGGTTTGTAATTAATTGGCTATGTTCACAGAGAGAGAGAGAGAGAGGCAGGACAGTTCTGTGCAGCACAGCTGCCTCATTCGCCCACCAGCTTCCCTGGCCCCTGTACCTCCTTTGACCAGTCACCCACACCTTCCTTTCCCATTGAATTGCCCGAAACCTAGTCCCTTCTTGGCCTAGCCATCTACACATGGCCTCTTCTCTAAGAACAGCTTGGGTACCTGTGAGTTAGAATGCTTAAGGAAGGCAGAAACTTACGGGGCTTCTGGAGGAATGCGTACAAGTTTTTGGATCTACTGCGAATTTAAGTCAAGGCTGCAGGAAGACTTTCAGCTGAGTGTGAACTCCTGAGTTAAACTAATACAAAAATATAGTCAAGATGAAGTCCTAGTGAGTTTGAGAAGAGATCTGGTTGCACAGCTTTTTTCTTTTTAACTTCACAAAGATGCATCAAAAGTAGGTGTGAGCAGTTGAAACGGTGGCGTAGAACTCTTGGACAGACCCAGGAGGGAAAGAGTGCCTTTCATTCTTTCACGAAGAAGTCAACACTGTGAAACAAACCTTTCATTCTAAGAGTATGGTAGACTACCTGCCCACAGCAGGGGTAGCTCAGGTATGTTTTGTCTAGGAAAATGGCAGCCACTGCCCACATGGTGCAGTATCTGGACATTTCTACAGTGTGCAAGTGAAGTGGATCCCAGGGGACGTTTGGGAAACATCAAGGTTAATCATTGATGGTGACGATGTGTGCAGGTGCATGCTGAGACTGGGATCTGTGTCTCTGGAGGACAGAGGTTGTGTAAAGGATGTTGCTATTCTCCCATCAAAAAATGCTGACTAGGCACTGGAAATAAGTAGGGCACATGCTGACACAGATTATTGGGGGGTTCAGTAATCAAGTGCAGATTTAGAAATGGAACATGAGGAAACATTTCTTTCTCTTCTGCCTGAGTGGGCTGTTAAAACAATGGAACATCTGGCACATTGTGTCTATGTCAAGTTCTGACTCCTCAGGGAGCAAACAACTTGAGGGCAGGAATGATGTTTCATGTTACTTTGTAGACCTTACGGTTGGATAAGGGCTAGTGTGCTAAGTGCATAGGTAGACGAAGGAATGGAGGGAAGGATGGATGCATGGATGCACAGGTAAATGAAAGCATGCACAAATAAACAAATGATCACAATGTGGATAAATCTTCCTAAATGATGCTGCATCACACACACAGATAAACATACACGTTATTGTACACTGGTTATGTATTCCGCATCTTAATCTGATGCCATCAACTTCAAAG